GATGACACAGAAGGGAAAGTCAAAGCAGGGCAGGGCCAGGCCTGGGAAGGGCCAGCGGCTACGAACAATCTGAGGAGGGCAGGGAGGTCTGGAGGCTCCTCCCTGGTCGCACCAGGGCTCTTCCTCACCCTTGGGCCACGCAGGTCTCGCTGGAACAACAAAAACAGGAGGCACAAACCATTCTGAAGAGCTTTCCTAGCCCCTTGTTCCTCGGAGGCTTGAGGAAATCTGCCATCAGCACCTTTCTCCCCCCACGGGAACCCCCAAAAGTGCATTTTGTAGTTCAGGGGAGCGTTGAAATCACCGTGTTTGGGACGCAGAGTGACTGCAAAGCAAAGAGAGGAAATCAGGGAGCTGTTTGGGTGGGAAAGGACCTTAAAAATCATCTCATTCCACTCCTTGCCGTGGGCAGGGACACCTCCCTCCATCCCAGGTTGCTCCAACCTGGCCTTGGACACTTCCAGGGATACAGGGGCAGCCACAGCTTCTCTGGGCAAGCTGTGCCAGGCCCTCCCCACCCTCACAACCAGGAATTCCTTCCCAATATCCACCCAAACCTCCTCTCTGTCAGTCTGAACCCACCCCCTCGTCCTATCCCTTCATCCCTTCTCCAAACTCTCCCCCCACATCCCTTGTAGCCCCTTCAGGTCCTGGCAGGCCCCAATCAGGTCACCCCAAAAAGCTTCTCTTCTCCAGGCTGAACAATCCCAAACTCTGCCAGCCTTTCTGATGGATCAGAGCTGCTCCATCCCCCTGCTCAGCTCCTCTGGAGTGGCTCCAGCAGCTCCACGTCCTCCCCAGGGCTGAGGAGGGGTGTTAGGGTTAGGGGAATGACAAGGGGAAGGGTCTGTAAAGTGCATTTTGTATGGGTAAAAATCCCAAAGTTGGAATAAAAGATACTTGTTGTCCTCCGAAAAAATCACAAGAAAATGGTAAATAATCACAAACATACATAGGTTTCATTTTTCTTTTTTTCTGGAAAGTACAGATTGAAATAATGACTGATACAGGAAATGTGATCTCTGAAACTCACCGTGAATGTTGAAAGGAATTTTTTTAATGAAAGAAAAGCAGAGCCACATTAATATTAACCCATGACTTCCAATGGCACAAATCACGATTTAATTAAAGTAATGGCATGCACCACCTTGTTTCCTGCACATTAAAGCAACTGGGATTGTGTAACAGTGAAATGTCTAAATCACTCATTTAATACAACACCAAACATTACCTGGGTTGAGCACCAGCTAATGAATGTTTGTGAAATCATTACAAACTATTTTCCCCAACAAGACCCAGAACACACCTGATAAGAATTAACACCCACAACAAAAAACCTTTATCTGCACCTTTGATTTTTCCTCAGAATTGGACCGGTTTTGGTGCATCACTGGGCTTGATGCATTTCTGGAAGATTCAGAACCACCTTTAAAACTGAATTTCATTTCCCACTTAGACTCCTGTAGTTAAAAAAAGTGGGTTTTATGTAGGATTGAGCTGCTATTCCAACGCCTGCTCCTCTCCACTTTGGGCAGTTGCCACATGTCACTGTGTGATCTCAGCAGATATTCATGACCACTGAAAACCCATCTCAGGTCATCAAGGCCTCTTTAAATTAGGGGTGGAAATGCCATGTTCCTGGGTAGCTCCAGAATAAGCTGTTTTCTGCTTCTGATTAATTTATCAGATGGATTTAAAGGGCTGTTAAGGAAAAAATGTCCGTGTCAGCCGAAGAGGAGTCTTACAAAACCTCTGAGCGGACAAGCCCAGAGTGACGAGGTTGCAAAGGAAGAAGCAACACGTGGAGTCAGCTTAATCCCCGTGGCAATTCCAGTGAGGTCACTGTAATGACCCCGGGAATTGCGTGAACCACTTTGGACCCGAGATTAAAGAAAAGGCGATGGCGAAACGACGACGACGACACGAGCGCCCGAGCGGAATCAGAACTCCCGACTTCCATGACTCAAAAGCTGTTCAGCGATTTCGGCTGGGCAGAACCCCCAACCCCAAGGAAGATACCCACCCCTGGGAGCCCTATATAAGCTCCAGTGCCCGAGTTTGTGCAGACACCTCTCCCAGCTTCTTCGCCTCGCTGAGCTTAGTGAGTACAAATTTTCGATTTCTGTTTATTGGCTTAGTCGTGATTTGGGGCAGAGCAGTCGTGGAAGGTTCTTGCAGGAATTCTGAGGTTTAGAAGAGCATTCCATCATTTCTGTCTGTATTTACAGATAAATGAATGTAAATGTAGGTAAATATAGGATTTGGGAGTGTGGTAGTGAATGAAGTGTGGCTATTCTAAGCCAATGAGTAGCTTTAATAAGTCATAGATTAAAACACTGTTATTTCAGAGAATTATTTTCATATTTTATAAGATTCAAGAGAATAATCGAGGCCATTTTGGGCTGAGTTCAGTGGTATTGTGGGAGTCATAACAATCCCTCCCATCTCAAGCAAAGCCACGTCGAACACAGGGCTGTTGCCTCACCTTGGGAGAGCCTGTGGGAGGCAGGACTGAGGTTTTTATGTTGTTCTTCAGGGTGTGCATTTGCAGAAGTGAAAGACACACCCATGTGGGGTCAGAAGAAAGATCAGTCTGTGGGGTCTGGTCATCCTGGGGGTGGTCTTTACGCAGGCAGGTATTCCAGCTCATGGTGCTCAGCTGGTGGTCACCAAGGTGAACATAAAACGCGTTGTAGCACAGGAGGGCACAACACGGTGATTTCATTCATAGCAGAATTTTGAAATCTGAGGACTTGTGTTTCAGCCTCACCTCCCTCACGCCAAGATGTCCTGCTACGACCTGTGCCCACCCAAGAACTCCTGCTACGACCTGTGCCCACCCAAGACCAGCGTGGCTGTGCCCCAGCCCATCGCTGAGAGCTGCAACGAGCTGTGCGCCCGCCAGTGCCCCGACTCCACGGCCTTCATCCAGCCGCCCCCCGTGGTGGTCACCTTCCCCGGCCCC